GGCGGGGTGCCACGCCAGCGAGCGCCAGCGCGTGCGAGACTGCGCGTCGCTGCAACAATACACAAATCACAATTATAACTGTATTTATTTTATGAGATTTACTAAGTTGTCCGAACTAAATGTAAAGCCAAGTCAACATACCTAAGTTTCATGATGGGCTCGTTCTTCCTGAGATCCCAAACAACACAGCGGTTAGCAAATGTTGAACCTAGAATGTGTTGTACCTAAAAATAGAAAATTCATTTGAAATAACACAATATGGAAAGAATATACACAGTATGTACATAGTTACATTAAAAATGACTAATTTTCTAGTATAAATAAAAAAAATAATAATGTTGACACAAGTGTAACAAATACAATGAACACCGCATAGTTACCTGTTGGTTCCAAGCGAGCCCCTGCACATGGTCGTATGGCTGATTTCTGTTGCCGGGGGACATCGGCTGGCTTGTGTTGTTCAGATCCCAAATGAAGATCTCACTCTCTGATGCACCGGAAGCTAGCAAATTCTTCTGGTAGGGATTGATGTCCAGTGCTGACACATGGCCTGGTAATTAAAAATATTAGATTAGTTATTACATGTTCTTTTAGGATTCTTAACAGTTAATAAAACATATATGCAGGCTTATTGATAAAAATAATTTAAACCCTTTTTCAAACATCTTAAGACTTAATTCACAATAAACATTGTTTACTATTCATTAAACTCTAAACAGAACTTATGACATATAATAGCCGTTCGATAACAGAAGTGGTTTCTGAAAGGTTATATGAATGCATTATCCTTAGATCACAAAGCATTGAGTTTTCCATTGTCTCTATATCATATTCTTTATAACAAGAGAATAATAGTGCATAAAATTTTCTTAAGTAAATAATACTCATTAATTAATATTTTATGCAACTTATAAAAACTAAAATAATATGTGAAAATGAATGAAATTATGTGTTTAAAAATTTAATCATTATTTCAGTAGCTCAGACAAAACTGATAGTGTTATCTTGCAATGTTTTGGTTGACAAAACAAATTACATGCCACCGTGTGTAACTTGGGCGAGTCCATACTAACAAATGGTTATTAGATATCTGATTATTCCAGTTATTAGATATCTGATTATTCCAGAAACTACATTTAGCGGAGTTTTCGGTTCCACAAACCTTTTTCTCCAGATTTGTACAAAGAGCCTTAACTCTCTCTTGGGCATTGTTCACTCACCACTGTGTTTTGAGCTACTTCCAACTAGTGCCTCTGTGGAACTAGCCAAGAGCTTCTCAGCATTGTAGAACTGCAGCAAGCCTCCGTCACAGCCTCCCACCACCACTCCTGCCCCTGACCACACCAGCTTTTGGAATCTACAATAATGTTATTTTATAATGTCATTTAACAAGATGAATCTTTCAATAAGATTATTATACAAATTAAAACATATTTCATAACATAAAACCATTAAATATCTTGATGAAATAAAACAAATTATGTGCAAGTAAAACTAGGAATACAAATTGATTTTAACATCAAATCGTTTATACGCTTTTGCATTCACTTTGGAATAAGTGTCTTTGGTTGTATCTTTTATAGGTTTTTGACTCAAATTCTGACTTTATAAAACCTATGATGAATAAAACACCCACTTATGTTGTGTCTGCAGACTGGATTTGAGTTCTAAATCCATTCCGGGCTCCTCCAAGTTCAGAGAATATAATTCCAAGCAGGAACTGGAACTGAACGATGCATCGACTTGCTGCGCGGCGGTGCCGGCCGCCAGCATTATCGGATACTGCTCCGCTGGCGACCAGCTCACGTTCACCGTCCGTTTTAACTCTTTGATCTTCATTTTTAAGCCACTCTTTCACTGTAAAGCACAGTAATATCAATAAAAAACAAGCCGAAAAGCAAACAGAGTTACAACGAAATTATGTCACCACTATTGATAGAAAACTACAGCACGAGTATCCAAAAACATGAAATAAAGAATGCTAATTAATCTTGGAAGCTGCACAAATTATTTTTATTATTAAAATATCAGTAATTTTAATAAAGTCTCAAGATATTCACCATAAAAACACCGAGTTGGCACTTCCAACGTGGCTGACGTAAATATTTCTGATTTGACAGATTTCTTGACTTAAAGTGTCATCAAACATAGATAACACAAATTTTTGTATCTACATTTGATGACATTTAATAAATGTTTATCATCCACTCCGTCCTAATCCAATGTAGTTCTCATCTTCTCCTGATTTCATAGGAATACCAAATATAAACTTGAAACACGAATAACTGCATACATTTAATAATTGGCCGTATTATATAGACTGTAAAGACAAAGAACGACTTTACTTGAGAGGTAATTTCCATAGTAACAAACAATTCAAATGCATTTTAATATGTAACTTAAAATAAAAATAATTTAGTGCCGTTGCACCAGCGTTTTTTGGCAATAAATTCTGCCAGTTGAAAGAGAAGAAAATATGTCAAAACAGTATTTGACAATATTTATGATTCATAAATAAAAAGTGCGGATTTTTATAAATCGATGTCAAAATTTGCTAAAAGACAAAACCAAAAGTAAGTAACACAGCTGGACGTACGCTTTCCCAATGTCTTTCACAGTAATAGGCCTTCAGCCTTTCGCAATCGCATCCAAAGATTACATAAAAGTTGACCGAATATATTCCAACTAGCATTGGATTAAGACCAATCAGACGTTTCACAGACTTCACAATGCCACTTGTGATGAGTAAAGACGAGTGGTCCCGGATCGTGAGCTGGACGGACTCCAACCGAGAGAATGCGGAGACAGTGCGGCGGCGGGAGTACATCCGCTATCTGCACGAGACCAGCCAGGCCATGACCAAAGCCTGGCCTAACTCACTGGAGGTGCCTGTTCCTTGTTTACAATGACTACTTCAATATTGCATGCTGGACTGGCCCAAAAATTTATTCACTAACCAGGAGCACTATAACCCTATTACTCGCTAATATGTACAGTAGATATATGTGTGGGATATAGAATGTGAACAAACGCAACGAAGAGCTGCGGCGCGCGCGCGTTGCGGCGGCGGAGCAGGCCAACACAAATTTCTACAAGCAGTACGTGCGCCGGCGCC